TTCTCTGCTTATCAAAGGAGAAAGAAATAGCTGTTCCCCCTTCCCTTCCCCCCAGAAAAAAAAATCTCCATACTTCTAGGCCTTTGGTATGTAAATAAAATCTCACCAAGAGTCACACAAATTCCCTCTTCTCTTGACTCAGTGTTTGGTATTTACAGATACACTTAGAACTCAGAATCTGAGCTCTTTGCAATGAAATTCTAAGGTGAATGACCGTTATAGTCTTCCCATCATCTTGGGGATTTTCTAAGTGATGTAGGATAAAATTTGTACTTCAGCGAAAAGTTGTGTATTGTGCAGACTGTAAATGACAGATCCTGGTTGACCAGATTCTGATTCATTCAAAGCTATTTCACAACTCACAGCTAAACTAGAGCAGTGGCCCATAATTCTTGTGTATGAATTCCAAATTTTGTCCTGCCTGGTAGAGTTTCAATTATCCTCCTTCCTGTACTATGGAAGAAGTTAGTTTTGCCTCCACTCACACATTCATTTCAGCATTACTTTATATATATAAATGTGTGCTTTTTGACTTCTTTTTAAACCTGTTATAACATCTGCTTACATGTTATAACAGGTGCCGTCCTTACATGTTGAATAAAATCTTTAATACATGTTCATGTTTATATATGAATAAGAGTCATAATTTTACCTTTTTTGGATCATGTTATCTTTTTTTTGAAGATTTTATTTATTTATTTGACAAGTGGAGTTACAGTCAGTGAGAGAGAGACAGAGAGAAAGGTCCTCCCTCCGTTGGTTCACTCTCCAAATGGCCGCAAAGGCTGGAGCTGCGCTGATCCAAAGCCAGGAGCCAGGTGCTTCCTCCCAGTCTCCCACGCAGGTGCAGGGGCCCAAGCACTTGGGTGGTCATCCTCCACTGCCTTCCCGGGCCACAGCAGAGAGCTGCACTGGAAAAAGAGCAGCCGGGACTAGAGCCAGCGCCCATATGGGATGCCAGCGCCACAGGCAGAGGATTAACCCAGTGCTCCACGGCGACGGCCCCTGGATCATGTTATCTTTTAACAGTGATAAATATTATTTGCCTTTTCTCAGAAGCTGAAAGTAAAATAAATTAACTTATATCCTTATGAATATTATGTGTTAATGAGTGATTGTTAAATAATTTCAGAGTACATTGAAGCTTCTTGTACAAATATTAACTAAATTTTTCCTAAATTAATGTTTTTATTTCCTGATAGCATTAGTTCCAGAAAACTCTTTGCAATCTTTATATCAGAAACTTGGATGGATTTTTAGTAAGCACAAGACCTCATCAGAGTAAAATATGGGTATAGCAAATGTGAAAATACTTCAAAACCAAGGTTGAAAAACATGAAAAGTTGTGCTAGAATTCTATAGTGTTTGTGCAGATCCAAGTTACACTGACGAAAGATGCAAGCATATCTGCATTCTTTGCCAAAACAACCCAAGTTTTAGTGCTGGAGTTTCACCTTATGTGAGGATACTTCAAAATTCTTGGCATGGGGCTAGCATTGTTGTGTAGTAGGTAAAGTCTCTGCCTGTGATGCCGGCATCCCATATGGGCAGTGGTTCCAGTCCTGGCTGCTCCACTTCTGACCCAACTCTCTGCTGATGGGCCTGGGAAAGCAGTGGAAATTGACCCAAGTGCTTGGGCCCATGCCACCCACTTGGGAGACTTGGAAGAGGCTCCTGGCTCCCTGGCTCCTAGCTTCAGCCTGGCCCAGCTTTGGTCACTGCAGCCATTTGGGGATTAAACCAGAGGATGGAATCTCTCTCTCTCTCTCTCTCTCTCTCTCTCTCTCTCTCTTCCTGTCTCTGTAACTCTGCCTTTCAAATAAATAAAATAAATATGTAATAAAATGGAAAATGGAATTAAAAGTTAAATTTATTTTGGTGCAAACATCTTTGAAATCTGTGGATAGTTTTTTAATAATATGCATTTCCATGAACTTTTTGAAGATTCTTCCTATGTCTACACCACCACTTCTCTTACCTGTTTTGTTTTGCCCTCCCTCAATGGTGTGTGCTTTTCTATCACTGGACTGACTACATGTATTGGAATTGCCTCCCATTCCAGTTGTAGACACCACCACTTCCACTGCTGCCTCTTGTCCTATTATTTAGGAGCCACCTCTCATGACCAGCTGGGCTTCATTAGCTCCATTTTCATGCAGTTTATTGGGAATCAATCAGTCAACATTATTTTGTCTTAGAAGACAGTAATTACTGTTTCTTGGAATGCAGAACTAACAAATCTGGGCCCTACATTGACACATATGTAGCTCATGTCCAGAAAGGGATACATGGTTCTGGCTAGATAATGTCCTTGAACATTCCCTGAACTTCTGTCCCATTTCAAGAAAGCAGAAGCAAATTACTAAGAACCAGCAGGAAAGTGTGTCGACTAAAAATTTTTTGAATGAGAAGAAAACATCCTATATAGACACTTAAAATTGCTCCAGAAGATTGGCTTCCCTTTTTAATTATTCAGAGTTCTAAGAAAGGCATTGCATAATCAACATATCTTTTATTTATATATTTTTAAACTTGTTTTTTAGATTTATTTTATTTATTTGAATGACAGAGTTACAGAGAGAGGTAGAGACAGAGAGAGAGGACTTCTATCAGCTGGTTCACTCCCCAGATGGCTGCAACCAGAGCTGTGCCGATCCGAAGCCAGGAGCCAGCAGCTTCTTCTGGGTCTCCCACATGGGTGCAGGGGCCCAAGGACTTGAGCTATCTTCTACTGCTTTCCCAGGCCTTAGGAGAGAGCTGGATCAGAAGTGGAGCAGCCAGGTCTCCAACTGATGCCCATGTGGGATGCCGGCGCTTCAGGCCAGTGGCTTTAAGCCACAGCACCAGCTCCAACACCTCCCTAGTAGTCCTTTCCCTCCCCCTCTCTCCTTCACCTGGCAGAGGTTCTCAGTGCAAATGCTAAGGCCAAGCCCAGGGCCTCTTTGCCCTGTCCAGTCTCCTACGTAGCTCTCACAGTTCAGAGGTAGGTATCTCTAGCTCTTTTGTATATTTTATGTAGACTTAGACACTTCTACTCCAGCTGCTTTCCATCTCACTCCAAGTAGAAAGCTTAGAATCACTAGCCCTCATCTGTATTACGTTCCTCATTGCTTTCTAATTGGTTTTACTTTAAGGGCTTTTCACCCCCCTCCCCCGCTTGGAATAGAAGTCAGTGTCTAAAACCTGTAATCCTGGATATTCTTGAGCATGCGCCCTCAACTCAGTGTGCTGTCTATTCTAATGACATTGTAGGCACTAGACTCTGTTTTATTTGTTTCCTCATAGCACTTACACTATATTTACCCATTTATCATTTTTTAAAAGATTTAATTATTTATTTGAAAGGCAGAGTTACAGAGAAGCAGCAGGAGAGAGAGAGAGAGAGAGAGAGAGAGAGAGAGAGGTCTTCCATCTGCTGCTTCACTCCCCCAGATGGCAGAAAACAGCCAGAGCCAGAAGCTTCTTCCAGGTCTCCCACGCGGGTGCAGGGGCCCAAGGACTTGGGCCATCTTACACCAGGCCATAGCAGAGAGCTGGATCGGAAGTGGAGCAGCTGGAAGTGGAGCACTGAGCAGCGGCGACCATATGGGACGCCAGCACTGCAGGTGGAAGCTTTACCCACTATGCCACAGTGCTGGCCCCTACCCGTTTATCTTGTTTATTGTGTATACACACACACATACCCCACCACCACCTACACACTCCTAAGAATGAAAATTACTCACAGGAATGCTCTGAGGTTCTGGACAGGTAAACAATGACCTTTTAAAGAGTTCTTTCATTTATTAATTTAAAAAGATTTTTATTTATTTGAATTACAGGGTGACAGAGAGACAAGGAGAAGCAGAGACAGAGAGAGGCTTCCATCCACAGGCTCATTAGTCAAATGCAACAGCAAGGGCTAGGCCAGGTCAAAACCAGAAGCCTGGAACTCCATCTGGCTCTGTCACATGGGCAGTGGGGACCCAAGTACTTGAGCATCAGCTGCTGCCTTCCTAGGTGCATTAGCAGGAAGCTGGATTGGAAGTAGAGCAGCTGAGACTCCAATCACAAGTCTGATAGGAGATGTAGGTGTGACAAGCTGAGGATTAACTTGCTGCATCTTGCATGCCACAAAACCTGTCCCGTATTTATTAATTTGAGTGAGGGGTAGGAAGAGAGTGCTTTCTCTGTTGGTTCACTCCCCACAGGCCTGGCAGGGACCCAACTGCATGAGCCATCACCTGCTGCCTCACAGGGTGTGCATTAGCTTGAAGTTGGAATGCGGAATGATAGAATCCAGTCAGTCCTCTGATATGGGGTCTAGGCGTCTTAGGCAAATGAAGCACTAGGTCAGATGCCTGCCTCAACAACTCTTTTATTAATGAAGGACTCTGCAGTCTCTCTCCACACCTTCTGAGCTCCTTAAAGGCAAGGATTTGGCATCATAACTTATCCCTACCCACCCGACCCCACCTCCCACCCCCCATCCCCGCCACGAGTTCAGTCTTTACCTGACTCATAGTATACATTTAGTAGAAATTTGTTTCCTGAATTCTCCCTTAGAGAGAGAGGTGAATTCTAGCATAGTTTCAACCCGTAGAAATCAAGAGGTGGCCAGTTCAATAGCCTTCCAGGTCTCCACACCATTTCCCCGCATTATTTCCATTACCCAGGACCCCATGGAAGCCATCCGCCAAGGGCTTCGGGCTATTCGCTGAGAAACTAGACATGGGCACGGTTCAAAGTGGTGCCAGGGGAGCCCACTGAGCTTATATGGCGTTTAAAAACCTTTTTCTTTTTAAATTTTGGCGCTTACTAGACATTTATAGTTATGTCCTTAATGGGACCAGGTGCCAAGAACTGCAGGGGAGGAGCAGTGAGCTTGTTAAGGTGGCATTATGGAAGGAGTGTTTTCCAATCCGTCCCTGCAATAGAGACTGGGACTTTAGGGAATGAAGGAGCGGGCAAGGGCGCAGTAGCCATAGGGCCATCAGAGTTTTTGTTTTGTTTTTTGCCAAGCCTGCTGCCAACTCCAAGGCTCTAGGAAGAAAGGAAGGAGGAAACAAAAACATTTCTTCGCCGATGATTTTTTTTTTTAACCATCCCAAGTAACTTTTTGCCACCGGCTCCTCAGCACTGAACCAGCGGTGACCTCTTTCACCGGAGGAACGCTCGGGGTATCCCACCCAAAGCCACTGCAGACTTGAAGAGCACCCATGGGAACACCACCCGGCTCCCTTTAGGAGGCAGCTCTCCTCCCCGCCCTACAGGCCGGGCAAGCAAGCCACGGGAGGAGGGGCGAGGTGAGGGTGGCGCGGGGTTCGCTCTGGTCCCGCTTGCCAGGGCTGCGGCGGCGGCGGCGGCCGGCATGGCAGAGACGTGGCCCGGGCCCGCGGCCGCGCCGCAGCTCAACGCGCTGCCGGACCACTCGCCGCTGCTGCAGCCAGGCCTGGCCGAGCTGCGGCGCCGGGCCCAGGAGGCGGGCGCGCCGTCCGAGCCGCTGCCGCTCACCGACGCCTTCCTGCTGCGCTTCCTGCGCGCCCGGGACTTCGACCTGGAGCTGGCCTGGCGGGTAAGCGCTGGTGCCCGCCGCGCTCCGCCCTGCCGGCCGGGCTGGGTAACTGCGCCTTTGCCCGGAGCACCGGCTGCCTCCTGGCTGGCCTAGCTGACTTCGCGTCGCGAGGCATCAGGCGCAGGCCCTGGGGCTTCGGGTGTTCGGGGGATATCCCGCGCTGTTCCTTTCTCTAGGTCCTGGAACGGAAAACCTGGAAAGTGCTGCAGCCCCCAGTGTGGTGGCCGGCCGATCCTAATCACTGGAAGCTGCTCTAGAACCAGTGTGCCGAGCTTATGTGCTTTGGGGAAATGCCTTCCTCTCCTTGGAAGAGCAAAGTAACAAGTGACAAGCTGGAAGCGCAGACACCTGGGCAGATAACTCTACTTATGCCGGGGAAATGAACTTCCCGGTAAAATCGACAGCCTGTAGCCCCAGCGTAAGGAAATAGGCTTATTAGCAGCAATGCTTGGGTGTCAAGCAGGAAAGCATTCTGATGTCTATTGTGCGTCTGGGGACAGTTAGGGGCGACATGGGCCGGTGCTTCTGTGTTTCCAGGTATGTTACTGCTGCTTGAAGGGCTGCTGGAGAGACAGGACTGGGAAAGAGAGATGCGACCTTGATTTCTGTCACTTGAGGCTCAGCGTCTTATCTGTTATCTGGTGAGAAGAACACTGCCCAGTTGGCCCGTTAGAACAAGACGCGCACACCTAGCCCAGGGCGCAGTGCCTGGTGAGCACTCAGCCACTAGCCAGGGTGCAGCCCTGTCTCCAAGTTGCCTTGCTCGGTCAGTGTTGGCTCTGCAAGCTGGGTGTCAGGGAAGGTACAAGAAGTCCACCATATCTTAGGACGAGAGTTTTTAAAATTGTTTTAAACTAACTTGTATTGAAAATGTAATGAGGATGGAATAATCCAAATAATACAACATGGTGAAAAGCGCAAAATACGTTTCTGAAAGTAACCCCTCTAAAGGAACAAAGTTCCCTACTGCAAACTTTGCAGTCAGGTACTCAGAGCCTGTAACAGTTTCCCTTTTCTTCCAGAGTTTACGCTAATACAAGCAGGTGTGCATTTTACATCTGCCTTTCTTACCTGGGGGTCCGACCATATCAGCATCTAGGCATACAGCTTGCTCCTTCCTGGGCTGCTGTCATCCCCCTGGATGGCTATGTGAACGTTTTATCTAAGCGTTCTCCTCTTATTGAACGTTGTACCAGGGCTGCCATGCATCACAGTTCATTTCCTCATTCAGTGATGGCTTTAGGAGCTCCTGTAATTTGCATGGTTGTGTACAAGATGCAGTAAATAAGAGACTGTGGTCTCTTCTGTCACTGACTGGTCATTCTAGCATAGCTTCATCTTTGTGCATAAACAAGATTATGTCCCTAGAGAATAAATTCAACCTATGACATTTTTGGATGAAGGGAACTGTGCATTTTTCAGTGTTGAGGAATGTAACAAACTGTCCTCCAAATTTTTTTTTTAAGATTTGTTTATTTATTTCGAAGAGTTACACAGAGAGGAATATAGAGATCTCCCATGTGCTGGTTCATTCCCAACTCTGCAACAGCCAGAGTTGGGCTAGGCCGAAGCCAGGAGCCTGGAGGTTCCTCCAGGTCTCCCAGGTGGTTGGCAGGGCTCAAACACTTGGGCCATTTTCCACTGCTTTTCCAAGGCCACTAGCAGGGAGCTAGATCAGAAGTGGAGCAGCAGGGACACGAACTAGCACCTATATGGGATGCCTGCATTATAGGCAGAGACTTTACCCTCTATGCCGCTATACCGACTCCCCTCTAAAGATTTTGCACTAATTCTATCATTCTGATTTATATAATGGTGTTTTGTTCTTTCCATATTATCACATACACTGTATGATTAAACGCCATGACTTGTGTGTAAACTTGCTAGGTGAAAATAGTCTTTCACTGCTGTTATAATATGCATTTAGTTAGTTATAAACAAGGTTAATCCTCAATTGTACACCTAAAATTTTAAAATTATTTTCCAGTTAACTGCCTGTTTTTGCCATTTATAAATCATTTTTATGTTTTATTTATTCCTAAAATACCTTTATGTATAAAAGAAAGTAGGCCTTTATCCTAATTTGTTGCCTCTTAGATTTTTAATTTTTTTTCATTTTATTTGAAAGGCAGAGAGAGAGAGAGAAAGGAAAAAGAGAGAGAGACTAAATCATTCCCAAAAGCTTGCAACAGCCAGGGCTGGGTCAGGCTGAGGCCAGGAGCCAAAAACTAAATCCAGGACTTTCATGTGGGTGGCAGGGATGCAGCTGCTTGAGCCATAACCTCACCTGATGCCTCCTGGGGCAATATGTCAGATAGCCACAGAAGTGTCCCAACATCATTGAGTAATAGTCTAACATGCACTTGGCAGCTACTGAACACAAAGACATAATCTTGAGTTCTAGGAAGTGTGGTTTAAATGAGAGATCAAACACATATATAAATCTATGTATAAAGATAGCTAATATTATGAAATATTAGACTTACTGATATCATTTTCACTGCTGTTAAAATAACATTTACCTAGACAAATAAGTAAAATTCACTCCAGCCCCTGTGACACATATATACATACACCCACACATCTATGGTTGTGTTTTCTATAGTCTTTCTTTTACTGAATTGTTTTCATTGCACCATGCCCTTGAGAAACTGACTAGCAGGAGAATGTGTAAACCCACTGGCTAGAAACCAGGTTTCTGGCTGTGACCTCTTTGCCTTACTTTGCTGCCAACTGGAGAGGAATGGGTAAGGATGAGAGTGTAAAATGATCTTTTCATTTTCCTCCATAATAGTAGTTAACTCATCTCAAAATCCTTTATTTGTAGTAGAAAAGCTCTATAGGCTTTGTGTGAAGCAAACTTGGCTAGTGTCTCAATTGTATTCAAATTTTTCATTATTAATGAGAATTGTAACATGTTAATAAGCCTTTAAAATCCTAACAGTTAATAGCTTATGGAATGCCAGGTACTTTGGTAGGTAGGGTTTGCATAGATTATCTCATTTTCTGATTTTAGGAGAAACTGAGATATAAAGAGTAGGTTGGCTGCAGTCACATAGCTACTGAGTGCTGGAGCAGGGATTGGAAGTTGTTTGATCTCAAGTACATTGCACTGCCCTCTTGATTTTAAAATGAATGTTTAAAAAACCCTGAATTTCTCTGTCCTACATATTCTTATTAATTCTTGCCTTTAGCAAATGAATAGCCCGGTTCCTTATACTTTTCTTCCATGTGATGTCCTTTAATTATCTGTATGGTTTTCCCAAAGACTTTGAAGTTTTCCAAATTTCATGACTCTCCCTGCTAATTTCTCTCTAAATGAGGATGCTTTTTATAAAATTTATGACATGTCAACTTCAGTCTCCATTCTGCCCCTGATAGTTATCGCCCTTGAACAGATGTACAGTTTCTCAGAGTTTTACATTTTTATCCATGTAAGAGGGTAATAATAGTTATCTCTCAGGGTACTTGTGAAGAAGAATTGAAATGATGCCATTAAACCCATAAAAGTGGCACAAACATTGCTGTTATTTTGTTTGAAAGCACATGAAAGCGGGGAAGATGGCTGAATATTTGAGCTCTTGTCACTCATGTGGGGAATCTGGATGAGTTCCTGGTTCCTGGCTTTGGCCTGGCCTACGCTTGGCCATTGTGGCAATTTGGAGAGTGAACATGCAGATGGAAGGTCTCTCTTCTTTTTTCTGTCTGTCTGTATCTGCCTCTCCCTTCATCTCTGTCACTATGCCTTTCAAATAAATAAAATAAATCTTTTTAAAAAGTGGGGCCATAATTGTGGTGCAAAGGTTTTAGCTGCTATCTGCCATACCAGCGTCCCATATCAGAGCTACAATTTGAGTCCTGGATGGTCCATTTTCAGTTCAGCTCTCTACCTGGGAAACCAGTGAAAGGTGGCTCAAGTACTGGGGCACCTGCCACCCACACAGGAAACCCAGATGGAGTGCTAGGCTCCTGGCTTTGACTGGGTCCAGTCCTGGCTACTGCAGCCTTTTGTGGGGAGTCAACTAGCAGATGGGAGATTTTTTTTTCTGTTTTTGTCTCTGTGTGTCATTCTGCCTTGCAAATAAAAAGTAAATAAAAAATTTAAAAAGCACATTAGTAATGTAAAACTACTTTATTACAAAGCAAAGTTATAACATTTAACTATTTCTTATAATTTTTGTACAAAATAGGCACCTCCCAATAGTGAATATTCATTTACATCCAATTCTTTTTTGGTGGAAATAGAATATTTTAGAATTGTTTTAGAATTGCTCATAGCAGGTCACATCATTTACATAATGTATTCATGTCAGCCGTACTTGTGAATTTATTAATGGGAGAGTAATGATCGGGGGCTGGTTATTGGCCTAACAGCTAAGACACCATTTGGGTTGCCCACATCTGATACAGAGAAATGCTTGGGTTCACGTCGTCGGTCTACTCCTAATTATAGCTTTCGGCTAATGTGCACCTTTGGAGGCAGGAGATATGGCTCAGGTAATTGGGTTGCTGCCATTCATGTGGGAGACCTGGACTGAACTGGCTCCCAGCTTCAGCCTATCTCAGGCCAGGCTGCTGAGGGCATTTGGGAGTGAACCAGAAAATGGGAAGTCTCTCTCCCTCTCTTTCTCTGTCTGAGTGTGTCTCTCTGCATTTCAAATAAACAAAATCAATTTAAAAAATTAAAAATGATCAAAGATTCATGTTTAGATCTTTCAGTCTGCAAAAGTGAAGTGTCAGAGACATAAAAGTGTTTTGTGAGTGCTTGAACTTTCTTCAGGTGTGAGGATTCAGCTAATTTACTTTTGCACTGAGTAATTCTTTCATTCCACACGTTTCTATCTCTTGCGAGCCTAGCAATCTGCAGAGATGAATAAGCTGAGCACCTTGCATCTAGTACCTAAAGATCCCTTTTGATGAAGGAACAAACTTTATCATTCCACAGGAAAATAAAACAATTATTTCTGTATAGTTATTAATATGCTGTTTCTGGCATTTTACTTCAATCAGCATTAAAAAAGACTGTTTTTATGTATGAGGAAGCTATCAGAAAGGTAATGAGATTTGTAAAATGTGATTAACTCTTATGCTAATGTCCCCTGAGACCTGGAAGAGGGAAGAGAAGTTTATCTTATAGAATAGAATGAGTATAGCAGAGTCTACAATGTGTCTGTTGTTCTTATTGCCTTTGGAAAGTGCTATGTAGGTCACCAATTATTTCTTTGTTAGCAAACTGAATGGCTTTTTTTTTTTTTTTTTGGTTGGTATTCTTTCTTACTTCTCTGTTGCATTTAACTCTTAGCAATATCTTCTTCTTTTTTAAACTTATGAAGTTTATTAAATGCAGAAATGAGAGAGGGAGAGAGAGAGAGACACCTAAAGAAAGAGACAGACAAAAGCCAGAGAGGGTAGGGGTTGGAGCTGGGAGAGGGCAGAGCAACATAGCTCACTTTTTCCTCTCTTCCATACACCATGGTGCTGGTTCTGTCAGTTTAACCAGTTTCTTTCTTTCCTCAGTCTGTTCCAGAAAAACATTTTTCAAGGTGCAGAATTTCATCCTGTATAAATTTTCTTTGTTATGTGTATTTTCCTCAGGATCATTAGTATTTTTTGTGGTTACAATTACCATATTTATTTAAATGATTCTCAAGTATAGAATTGTTCTTTTCTTGGCTGAGGTTGTGGCATAAAGGGTTAAGTTGCTACCTGCAATGCTGGCATCTCATATGAGCACTGGTTCAAGTCCCAGATGGTCCCTTTCCTATCTGACTCCCTGCTAACGCGCCTGGGAAAGCAGTGAAAGATGGCCCAAGTGCTTGGGTCCCTGCCCCCCAAACGGGAGATGGGAGATCCGGATGAAGCTCCTGGCTTTGTTCTGGCCCAGCTCTGGCTATTGTGGTCATTTGAGGAGTGAATCAGCAGATGGACGATATCTCTCTCTCTCTCTCTCTCTCTCTCTCTCTCTCTCTCTCTCTCTCCCTTTCTCTTTGTAACTCTGCCTTCCAAATAAATAAAAAATATTTTTTTTATTTTAAGAAAATTGTCCTTTTCTTGGATCTGAATGGCATTTTCCTGATAGAGCTCTTTGAACTCAAAACAAATATGTTGTCATTTTAGAAAAATGGATGCTGAAAATTAAAATATAATTTGTAAGTGCACAATTTGCTTTATTGTGATTCATGCTATGTTAGCAATATTTGTATGGTTTGCATAGTTTGGTTAACCATCTCTGGTAGTTCTTTTGGAAGAAAAGAAAATAGGATTGCTTCAAACTATATTTCGTCAAAATCTAATATCCAGGTGTACTTACTGTTCCTTGTGCACTCCAAAATCATTTAATTGATTTCTGTTAAAAAAAAGTCTAAAGGTGATGTTTCAGTTATCTTTTGTTAAATAACAAATGACTCCAAAACTTAATGTGTTCAAACACTACTATTTTTCTGTGATTCTTCAGTTTGGAGAAGACTCAGAGGGGAAGGTTCCTCTCTGCTCCATATGGTATCAGATGGGAACTCAGCTGAGGTCAGGCTATCCAGGAATGTCTTGCATCCTCAGGGCTGATTTCTGCATGAACTGTGGTCATTCAGTAACCTTACGTGGTATCTGGATCTCAAAAAGCAAATCTGGAAGGTAAAAGACTTCCTAAAACTGGGTGCATTGTCACCCTTGCCACATTCTATTGGCAAAAACAAAGCATGAAGTCAGCCCAGATAAAGGAGAAGGACTTGATGGGAGGAATGACATGTGTATGCCACATTCTATTGGCAAAAACAAAGCATGAAGCCAGCCCAGATAGAGAGGGACTTGATGGGAAGAATGACATGTGTATGCCAGGAGGGAAGAATTGTTGACAGCTGTATTTGGAGACTATCTACCAAAGGAGGCAAGTGAAAATTACTCATTTGGATTTGTGATTAGCTCCTATCATCCAAGATTTTTCATCAAGGGAACTTTTCTTTTTTCCATAGCCAAGAAGACATAACATTACTAGAATCCTAATGTAGTAGATGGGAAGTTTCATACACAATGCCAAGGCTATCTTACTATTTTTTTTTTTTTTTTGTAAAATGCTTACCATGTCTGCTATCTGTGGAAAATTTCATTTTTATTTTTCAGTTATTAAAAAACTACTATAAATGGAGAGCAGAATGTCCAGAAATAAGTGCAGATCTACACCCTAGAAGTATTCTTGGCCTTCTGAAGGCTGGCTACCATGGAGTCCTGAGAGCAAGGGATCCTACTGGCAGCAGAGTTCTTATTTATAGAATTGGTAAGTCACACACAGCTCTTCTTCACACACACACACACCCTCCCCCTTCTCCTGTCCTGGTCTCTCTTCCACCCTTCTCCTTCTTGCCTCCTCTCTTTCCATTTTTCCTTGGCTGCTATATACAGAATTTCAAAAGAGTCCATCCTTCAGAATTTAAACTCTTAGGCTTTGAGTTAGTTTTACGCTGTCTTAACGTTCCCCCAATACAATGAAACTTTGGCAGTTGTGAGAAAACGAACAGAAACCAGTGAAAATTCTACTTCCATTCTTCAACAGTCTGTTGTTTAAAATAAGAGAAAAGGAACACAGAAAAGAGAAAGGTGTGAGAACGGACAGAGAGATCATGTAAAGTGTTTCAAAAATGCTTAGTAAGAAATACAGTTAAGAATTTTAAATTCTGAATTCTAGTGATAAAAGCTCCATGGGATCATGGATTTTGTTTGTTCTGTTCACTGATGAATCCCAGGCACTGTAACAAGGTCAAGTAATGGTGGGTACTCAATAAACATTTGAAGAATGAGCAATTAAATGACTAATTCAACAGTGCTCTTAGGCTGTGGAACAAAGGGTTCATTCCCCTGGAGGGCGGAGGGTACAGTAGGAAGGTAGCATTCCTGGGAATTGTTGCACACACTTTATTTCATTAGCTCCTCTTTCTTTTTACTGCTTCCATTTCCCACATAGGTGTTCTTAGTGTTTCTTGCGAATTGATCTTTCTTTGTATGCTGTAACAAAATGCCATAGCCTGGTGGCTTATGAAAATGGAACTTTGGGGCCACTGCAGTGGTGTAAGCCATCGCCTGCAATGTCAGCGTCCCGCATGGGTGTTGGTTCATGTCCCGCTGCACCACTTCTGATCCAGTTACCTACTAATGGCCTGGGAAAAGCAGCAGAAGATGGTCCAAGTGCTTGGGCCACTATTACACTTGTGAGAGACCAGGAAGAAGCTCTTGGCTCCTGACTTTGGCCTGCTCCAAAGCTGGCCATTGTGACCATCTGGGGAGTGAACCAACAAATGGAAGATCTCTGTCTGTCTCTCCCTATCTTTGTAACTATGATTCTCAAATAAAGAAATGCACCTTTTAAGAAAAGGAAAAACAGACCTTTATTTCTCATAGTGCTGGAGGTTGAGAAATCCAAGATCAAGGTGCCGGCAGATTGATTATCTGTTGAGGCTGTTTTCTGGTTCACAGATAGTCATATAACTGTAATAGGGAAAGGGAATCTCTCTCTCTTTTACAAAGGCACTAATCCCATGCACCGGGGTCCTACTGTCATGATCTAATCACCTAAAGGCCTGACTTTCTAATATCATCTTGGGAATTAAGATTCAGGATATCAATTCTGGAGGGACACAAACATTCAGACCAATCCAGACCACAGCAATTGATGACTGATAGCTTTTGCCTCTTCCTTAGAACAGTGTGTGGTTAAAAACGACAGGTAAAGGAGACTTGCCCTGTTCCCAGTGCCTCTCATGGCCAGTGGAAAGGACAAAGATAACCAACATATGATAACACAATCTTGTGAATTATATTACAGAAATTCATATATCTTTAAAGATCTAAAATATTTACACATTTCCATTTCTTACCTCCTTCTAGATACATACCTATAATTTGGCTGGTTGCTACCTTACAAGGAGACACTGTGTTTAGTTATTGAAAAGATCTCAGAAGATTGAATAGAATTATTCTGTATTTCGCCCTAGCTTATATGTTAAATAATGCTGTGTTAATCATGAATTTATTGTCTATAAAGCAGGTAATATAATGTCCTTTCTGTTCTTTTTTTGTTCTACCAGTGACAAAGGAAGTGGAATGAGCTCATAGCAATCAAGTTCCTTGAGCAACTTAGGAGTATGTCATATTTAGCTGTAATTATGTTTTAACCATATTTAACAAATGAACCTATGTGTTATAAAAATATACGATACAGTTATGGTTTAGATGATAGCTTTGGTGTCTCCTAAAGATTATGTGTTGATCTCCAGAGTCTTAGAAGTTAACAAATGAAGGCTAGAACTTAATCCAATTATGGTGTCTAAAGATAAAGCCTTGGAAAGTGTTTAGATTGGAGTGGGTTGTTAGAGTGGAGCTCCTGTGATTAACTCATGGTGGCTTCATGAGGAGATACTATAGACATAGGATGAGTGTGCTCCACATCTCTCTACATCCTGGCCCACCCCCATATAATCTTCCCTCCATGCCTGTTTTGTAGTCCATTGCGCAACCTCATTAGACACCAGAAATGGTGCTAGCTGATCTTTGAATGCGAACCTCCAAAACTGTGCTGTATTTAACAAATGAACATACTTACCTAAGTAGTTTCTCTCAGACATTTTGCTTGTAGTAATGAGAAGCTGACTAATATACATGCCGAGTTACATTTCACTTTCAAATTACCAATAAATAAGGCCGGCGCCGCGGCTCACTAGGCTAATCCTCCGCCTAGCGGCGCCGGCACACCGGGTTCTAGTCCCGGTTGGGGCGCCGGATTCTGTCCCGGTTGCCCCTCTTCCAGGCCAGCCCTCTGCTGTGGCCAGGGAGTGCAGTGGAGGATGGCCCAGGTGCTTGGGCCCTGCACCCCATGGGAGACCAGGAAAAGCACCTGGCTCCTGGCTCCTGCCATCGGATCAGCGCGGTGCGCCGGCCGCAGCGCGCCGGCCGCGGCGGCCATTGGAGGGTGAACCAACGGCAAAGGAAGACCTTTCTCTCTGTCTCTCTCTCTCACTGTCCACGCTGCCTGTCAAAAAAAAAAAAAAAAAAAAAAAAAAAAAAAAAAAATTACCAATAAATAATTTCTCCTTTTTTTTTTTTTTTTTAGAACTTAGAAGGCAACTTCTTTGCTGTGGTCTTTTTAAGATTAATTTTATTTATTTGAAAAGCACAAAGAGAAATAGAGAGAGAGACAGAGAGACAGAGAGAGAGAGAGAGAGAATCCTGTCTGCTAGTTCACTCCCCAGATTGCTGCAGTAACTGGTACTGGACCAGATTGAAACCAGGAGCTAGCAAATCCATCCAGGTCTCCCACATGGTGGGCAGGGCCTTAAACACTTGGGCCATTTTCTGTTGCCTTCCCAGGTGCATTACCAGGGAGCTGGATCAGACAGGAATTCAATCAGCACTCTGAAATGGGATGCTGGTATCGCAGGCGGCAACCTAACCTGCTGCGTCACAACATCAGCCCTGCAAATACTTCTTTTAGTATGGGGCATACATATCTTAGTATGGGGCATACATATGCTAAAATTATATCTTGTTTATCTGAAATCCAACTTTAAACGGGCGAACTTATATTTTGTCAGGCAATGTATTCATAGATTCTAGAGACACAAAACTGAAACCTGTAGCTGATTCTTTCTGAAAGTGCCTAGGCTCCATAGTGTCTGGCTGAATTTTTTTTTTTTTTTAAGATTTATTTATTTATTTGCAAGTCAAAGTTACATAGGGAGAGAAGAAGCAGGGAGAGAGAGGGAGAGAGGTCTTCCATCTGTTGGTTCACTCCCCAATTGGCCTCAATAGCCAGAGCTTCTTCCATGTCTCCCATGCAGGCACAGAGGCCCAAAGAGTTGGGCCATCATCCACTGCTTTCCCAGGCCACAGCAGAGAGCTGGATCGGAAGTGGAGCAGCCAGGTGTCGAACCGGCGCCCATATGGGATGCCGGTGCTTCAGGCCATGGCGTTAACCTGCTGCAACCACAGTGCTGGCCCCTGGATTTTTATATTTCCTTATTTGTTCATAAATTTACTGGGGGAGTAGCTGAAGAAGTAAAAATGGCACCTTGGTAGTGAGAAAGCAAATGTGCTACTTTGGCAATAAAAAATGCTGAACCAACTGGCCCATTGTCTTTGAGTATATTACTTTATAAATGTGTTGCCTAAATCAAAAAAGTTTTAAAAATCAAGGAAATATGTAGCTTTAGTGCTAGTCAGAACATAGCTAATCTCCTATATGTTATGTTTTTCTAAGATATAAAGAAGACTCTCAGGGTATCTTATGAGTGAAATGAAAAGATAGGATAAAGACATAATTTTTTTTTTTTTATTTAATTGAACTGTGGAAGGAAATCAAGGAGTAGATCCTTTGTTGAAGAACCTCATTGAAACGACCTCCCTTGGGTACTATTTGTGGGGCAGTAAAAGCAGTGAGAAAATGCACAGAGCCTTTTCCTCCATGCTGCAGGGCAGCCCACAGTAAAACCAAGTGTTCGCCTTTGTCAGCTTCATGCCAAAGGGTATGAGTTTATGCCTCTTGAGACCTGCTAATGTACTACAGCACCAAAAGCAAAATGTAATAGTGCATATTAACCTTTGCCTATGGCTTAGTCCTTATAAATACAGGTTGTGAAGCATGTTACCTGGATTGGAATATTAGCTTTGTCACATTTTAGCTGTGTGAAAAGCTATGTAGCTCTTACTCCATTTTCTGTGAAATGGGCATAATAAAAATCTACCATTTACAAATACTGTGAGCATTAAATTGTGTGTGTGTGTTTACCTAGTATACAATAAGCACTCATTAAATGTTAGATAGTTGCTAGAGAAGGATTTAAAATTTACTTTTTTTTTTTTTTACCTTAATGGAATTTGTTTTTGACAGGCAGAGTTAGTGAGAGAGAGAGAGACAGAGAGAGAAAGGTCTTCCTTTTCCATTGGTTCACCCCCCAAATGGCCACTATGGCTGGTGTGCTGCAGCCGGCACGCTGCGCCAATCCGAAGCCAGGAGCCAGGCACTTCCTCCTGGTCTCCCATGCGGGTGCAGGGCCCAAGCACTTGGGCCATCCTCCACTGCCTTCCCAGACCACAGCAGAGAGCTGGACTGGAAGAGGAGCCCCCAGGACAGAATCCGGTGCCCTAATCAGGACTAGAACCCGGGGTGCCTGCACCACAGGTGGAGGAGCCAAGTGAGCCGTGGCACCAGCCTACCCTAATGGAATTTAAGGTCTAGCCAGCACTATCCAGTAGAACTTTCAGTGATAATGACATTGTTCTATGGTAGCTACTAGCCACATGTGGCTACTGAACTCTTGAAATGTCACTATTGCAATGAAGAAGCTGAATTTTTAATTTAAGTTAGAATAGCTGATGTGGCTAAAAGTTCTATATTGGACAGTACAAGGCAGATAATCATGTTGGTTGGCTCAGAAATTTAGGTAAGATCTTTTTTCTGATCAGCAAATTTCAATCGTCCTGCTCACATTTTTCATCATTATAGTATTCATCCAATGTCTGTAGCTGTGTAATATTTTTAGTTGGGTTATCTGTGGACTGGTTATTTCAAATTCTTACCAGGATACTGAAGCTTTTACAAAGCAGGGACATCCCATTGTGCCTTCCTAGGAAAACTTGTGATGAACCTTTCTGGATCTCCAACTTTTACCTTGCTACTAGATATTCCAGTTAACATTTAAATCTGAAGGGTCAGCACCAAAAGAAAACAGAAACTCTTCATCACCGCACAAAACCCTCCATCTTCTACCCCACCCCCTGCCTTGTCATCACTCCACTCATCCTGCCCTCAGCTAAACTTAAGTTAGTGGATGTTGGCCATCCACACTTTCTCACAATTCCTCCTCAGCCCATCGTGGTATGGTTTCATTTCTACCTCTACTGAAATGATGTCAGCCAATAGTTCTGTTACTTGACCCCCGAACCAGCAAGCCACTTCCTCTTTCTCGAGACACCCCCCGCCCTTGGCTTCTTTGGTGACACATTATCTTGGTATTTTCTTCTGACTTAACTGGCTGCTCTTTCTTCAATGCTTTTGGCTTGTTTTACTTGGCCTTCAAATTCTATGTGATTCCTTAGGACATGGGTCTCAGCATCCTCTCATGCCACATTATCACTCTACCATAACAGAGAAACACATGGATCTAAGACAGTTCCTATCGTAGATTGTCACATAAGGACAGACAACCCCCAGGTTTGTATCTTCTCCTTCAGGATCCATATCCAAGCACCCTGCTCCTGGTCCTAGGTCTCTCACAGTCACCACTCTAACATGTCCAAGCACACTGTCTTTTCCACTTAAAATGCTTGTCCTATCTCAATTATTGAAATGGTACCGCCATACCTGGTTGCCCAAGTCAAAAGCTTTTTTTCTTTTTTTTGTTAGCGTTATTTAGTTAGAATATTTTTTCCCCTTTGTTCATCCTGTTAGGAACTCCATGGAACCTCCCATCTGAAGATTTACCCTTTTTGTAGCTTTGGAAAAATTTTGTTACTCTTCTTTCCTTTGTTCCCTGTTATTTGTTACTGCCATATAGCTGTTCAAACATCTGGACCTAGCCACACATTTCTTAATTTTTCAATCATACATAGGAACTCTTGGCTCTTTTTTGCTGAGTTTGAAAGAATTCCTCAATGTGATCTTCCAAACCACTATTTACTTGTTGGCTATGTCTTTTCTGTCATTTGTCCCATCAACTGAGTTTTTTTTTTTTTGAATCATCTTTTTATTTCCTAAATCTGAATTGAGCATTTTATTTCTTTGTTTACATTTTGAGAAGGAGAGGAAGAGGAAGGGAAGGAGGGAGGGAGTAAGAGATCTTGCATCCAGTGGTTCACCCCCTCCCCCAAATACCCACAGTACCCGGGGCTGGACTGGGTGCCAGGAACTCCATCTGAGACCCCAGGTGGGCAGCAGAGGATCTAACTACTTAAACCTTCATCTGCTGCCTCCCAGGTCGCACATTAACAGAGAAGTTCGTTGCTCATGTGAGAGTCTCAGGCAGTGGCAGCTTTCCCTGCTGTGCCACAATGCCGACCCTAGAACATTTTTATAATAGTAGCCTACAGTGTCCCTTTTCCCTCTGTTGAAAATGTTTTGCTTTTGTTTTAGTGTTTCTTCATTTTTAGAATATTTCCTTGAATTTTGGTGCCTATATCAATTGAATTTGGTTTCTCAGTTCTTTGTACGTGTGCGTTTAACATAATTTTTAATAGATGCAAAATTTTTTGGAGATTATCTGCTGTTCTACCATTCCTGCCTGCCACACTCTGTCCCAGGGATGTCAGAGAAGGGTGACAAGTGTGGACAAGAATGTCAGTATCTCCTCTCTTAGCACAGTACTTCCTGTTTTCCTGGGTGTGGGCAATTATCTGGTTTTTTTTTTTTTTTTTTTTTTTTTTGACAGGCAGAGTGGACAGTGAGGGAGAGAGACAGAGAGAAAGGTCTTCCTTTTGCCGTTGGCTCACCCTCCAGTGGCCGCCGCGGCCGGTGCACTGCACTGATCTGAAGGCAGGAGCCAGGTGCTTCTCCTGGTCGCCCATGGGGTGCAGGGCCCAAGTCCTTGGGCCATCCTCCACTGCACTCCCTGACCACAGCAGAGAGCTGGCCTGGAAAAGGGGCAACCCGGACAGAATCCGGCGCCCCGACCGAGACTAGAACCTGGTGTGCCGGCGCCGCAAGGTGGAGGATTAGCCTAGTGAGCCGGGGCGCCGGCGTGGGCAATTATCTGAATGCTTCCCCCAGCTCTTTTTCTCTCAAGCCCACACTTAAACTGTTCTAGCCTGTAGGTACATGACTGCTATGTGCTGATTGTTACCAAGGGCTGTCTGAGGTTCAACCTGTTGGTCTACTTCTCATGCATTTCCTGTAGCAACTTCTTTGGTCACTACAAGGCCCTAGTTGCTCCTAATAATCCAGCTTGCCCTTGCTTTTCCCATGTCAGCACCTCTGAGTTTGCAGCATACCCAGAAGCATTGCCATCTTTACCTGCAGCCTTTTCCAGCACATGAGGTTGTGGTTTCAGCTGGCAATGGAATCCAGCCTGCTTCAATTCTTTTCTTCCTGGTGCTCTTAAAAAGCTGGCTTTCACTAGGGATCTGAGAGAGGGAAGAGAAACAGGCACATGTTCTTGGACCTCAGTTTGATCTCTTGTTCACTTTATGATCCTGATATGTGTTTTTATTTCCCCTGATTCTTCGAGTATAAAAAGAATTAGTTTTCCTTTGTAAGTCTTCATGCAAAGCTGAGATATGATATGCTTTCCTTTTTTTTTTTTTTTTTTAGCAAACTGGGACCCAAAAGTTTTTACAGCTTATGATGTATTTCGTGTAAGTCTAATCACATCTGAGCTTATTGTACAGGAAGTAGAAACTCAACGGAATGGGATCAAGGCTATCTTTGATCTGGAAGGCTGGCAGTTTTCACATGCATTTCAAATTACTCCATCTGTAGCCAAGAAGATTGCTGCTGTACTTACAGTAAGTGTATATTTTTACAGTTAGGTGTCATACTTCCAATTAATAGTTTTTAATGTTGTCATAGGATAAACAGAGAAGTGATAGTAGCTTTATTAGAAACCTAAATAAAAAAGAAATGATACATAGAATTCAGTAAAGCTAAGAGAAAATAAAATATCAATTTATAAAAGAAAAAATGTTTAACAAACTGCCAAAATATATTCAAAATTAGAATATGTTCAACCATAGAATGTATACATTTAAACAATAATGTGGTAACTTTATCTTCATGACATTAAAATTTTCTTTCTACATTAAAAAATATCACAGCAGTGGTATAATGAAATGACATATGTCTTGGTAGGTATAAATTGATACAACCCTTTTCAGAAATCAAAAGATTTTTAAAATGGCCATCATTTGTGACCTAGGAATTCTACTTCTGGGAATCTACCTCTGGAATAATTAATTGTAAATATGGTAAATACTTTTTATGTAGTAATAATAGCTCACTATGTGCCACATGCTTTACTAAGTATTTCAAATGCATTAGCATTTAATGGCACACTGAGCCTATGCTATATGATCATTATTTTTCCCATTTTACAAAAAAAAAACTATGTTAGAGAGTTAATATAGCGATACTCAGGGACACACAGTTGTTAGCAGTGAAGTATTAATTCCAGTCCAAGTCTTCTGAATGTAAAAACCATGTTTATAACCACCACTCTTCCTTTGCATGTTGATGGTTACTGCATCATCAGTTTTAATAGAAGAAAATTAGAAGCAACTTATTTGTTCAGAAATAGGAAAATTATTACTTAAATTATGGTGCATTCATTTGATAGGTAATTGAAATAATATTAAAACTCATGATGTTTACAAAACCTGCATTATATCAGTGGGCCAAAACAAGATGCAAACTATTTAAAGAGAATATTAATAGTTATGCTTAAAATAAAATCATAAGTTGAAAGAATCTGGAGGGAAAAACCCTGAACTAATAACATTTCTTTAAAAGTTATGCATAGGAAAAAAAAGACTTTTGCATGCAAGGACTTTGGAAGAAAAAGTCTCTACTAACTACACAACTTTTGGGTAGAAAAAACTCTCCATTAAATTTTTTTTTTCAACTATTAGCTATTAACTTTTAAAATTAATATTAAGCCTATAGTACTTTTATGCTCAAGGCTTACAATAATGTCAAATGTGTGTGTATTGTATTATATTTTCAAATTTTATGAGTTTGATTTTTTCTCAAAAAGTTGGGAAAAAAATTCAATATGATTCACTGCTCAAAAGAACATTTGTATGTAATTAGGGGAGGTATTTTCTGGTGAAAGTGTGCAACTGTTTCTTAAAATACTTATCCTAAGCTGCAAGGAAATCTACCTGTTAGAACTCTTTTCTCAATCTAGTGACAGAACTGTAAGCCAGGCTTTGTGTTGCTGGAATGAATGTTTTGAAAATAAACCATACTTTATGTACTTCTGTAGGATAGACAGTATTCAAGGAAGAGACTTGTCCAATATAATTGCAAAAACTATGTTTTGTTATTAAGATGTTTTCTCTTTATTTTCAAAGGATTCCTTTCCATTGAAAGTTCGTGGAATCCACTTGATAAATGAACCAGCCATTTTCCATGCTGTCTTTTCCATGATTAAACCATTCTTAACTGAAAAAATTAAGGAGCGCGTGAGTAAAACATTCAACTCAAGTTCCTCTATTTCAAACATTTTAACCTTTTCCCATTTAGGATTGCTTCATTATTTTCTTCATATACACTCACTCACACCCCAAAATTTTGAAATTTTTTTCACAAATCAGCTACTTTTATAAGTTAAAACTTATTTTTAGTTAAAAATAAGTTAGGAATGTTGGTTATAAGCCCTGAGGAAACTGGGCTGGTCCTAACAGCTGACTGGAGTACAAAATGGTATATGCCCTATAGAGGGCAGTGTGGCAATAGTTATCAAAATCAAAACCTTGCTCTTCTGGGAATTTATCCATACATAAAGAAAATTACATGTATAAGGAGTTTCACTGCAGTGAATGATTGGACACCACCAACTGTTCATCATTAGGGAACTAGTTAGATAAAGCATAATATATATTCACCCAATGGATATAATGGATATTTATAGAATGTATTATAAAGCAAAGTAGCAAAATGCAGAGAACTGTTTATAGTATACTACCTTTTGCATAAAAAGAGAGAAATCAGAATGTATATTACTTTGCATATTAATTAAAATATGCAAGAAAATAAAACTTGTGTAAGTAGTTACATTAACAAAACTGGACTGGGTGGCGTAGAGGGGGACAGGGTTGGGAGCAAGACATCTCACTGTATATCTTTCCACTTGTTTGGATTTCTGACTCTGTGACCATTTTCTTTATGTGAATTTAAAAACCTTTTATTTAAGGTATAAAACTTCATGCATTCCATATATGCAAATTCAGGAACATGATGATTCTTCCCACCCTACCCTCTCTCCTCTCTCTACTATTCCCATTCTTATTTTAAGCAAAGATCTATTTTCAATTAACTTTATACCAATAAGATTAACCCTATACTAAGTAAAGAGTATAGTAATAATATGGAGAAATAATAAAATCTGTTCCTCTACAGTCAAGTTAAGGGCTGTTCAAAGTAATTGCCATCTCAAAGTGTCAATTTCACTTCTATAGATTACCTTTTTGGTGCTCTATTAGTTACCACAGATCAGGGAGAACATATGGTATTTGTCTTTTTGGAACTGGCTTATTTCACTAAGTATAATGGTTTCCAATTGTATCCATCCTGTTGCAAACGACTGGACTTCATTTTTTTAGCACTATGTAGTATTCCATGGTGTACATATATCACAATTTCTTTATCCAGTCTTCAGTAGATGGACCTCTGGGTTGATTCTATATCTTAGCTGTTGTGAACTGAGCTGCAAAAAAAGCTAAGGTTCTTAACCGTCATTATTGTCTCTTAATTTTGTACCAGCCAACTTAACAAATTGTTAAAAATTATATACCACTATAGTTTCAATGATTTTGTGACTACTTTAAAATTTATAGAATGAACTTGAGCATCTTTTCACTTGATTATTGTACTTATGCCACAGAAAATATTCCTTATATATCTAATTGTGTGCTCAGAGATATGCTTTTATTTAATAAGAATTTATACATTTCTTTAGGTATTAATGTGTAAGATAGTACATATTATTACCTTTTATAAATCTTGTGCAGTTATAAGAACACAAAGAAAATAGTAAGATTATTAGATTCACAGTAAAATGTTCTAAATATAAGTAAATTCTTAGATTCATAAATAGAATCGATAATGCACTATATATACCTGCTTTCCTGTCTTGGAAGTTATTACATTACCCTGTTTTATGATGTTGATTTTCAACCAGAAGTGCAGGGAATACAGTTAGAACAGAAGGAATACCTTATAAAATATTTCGGTTATTTCAGATTCATATGCATGGGAACAATTACAAACAAAGCTTACTGCAGCATTTCCCAGACATTCTTCCTCTGGAATATGGTGGTGAAGAATTTTCCATGGAGGATATCTGTCAGGAGTGGACAAATTTTATAATGAAGTCTGAAGATTATCTCAGCAGCATTTCTGAGCCCATTCATTGAGAGAAAATCACTTTGTTTGAATGGATTCCTGATTCAAAATATATGAGTGAGAGCCTATCTACCTGGTTATATGTTTGAAAGAAAAAGAGCAAAACTTTTAAACTAATTACTACTTATGTGATCATTTAAAATACATTTTCTGAAATGAGTGACATGGGTATTTGGGAAGGCTTTTTATTTTTTAAATGCTTTTTTTAAAAAAGCTTTTGAGGTAATATAAAGTTCAGTACATTTTTAAACCACAGAGAGATTACCAGTTTCACATTTGAAGAGACAATATAGCAAGTTATTTCTAAAGTAGCTGTTCATATATATCTTTGTTTCTGGAATATTTCATTTTAAACAAGTTCTGTGATCACATTTGTTTAGTAATATATTTATAAATAGCCCACTAAAAAGAGATAAGTTAACTGATGATAAAAAAACTGTTAACACTCACTTTGGGTGGATGCCAGATTCGATTATAATTCACATTAAAATCTTTTTTAAAAAAAGATTTCTTTATATTACTTGAAAGAGTCACACAGAAAGAGAAGGAGACAGAGAGAGAGAGAGAGAGAAAGAGATAGAGAGAGAGAGAGAGAGAGGTCTTCCATCCGCTGGTTCACTCCCCAGTTGGCCTCAATGGCCGGAGCTGAGCTGATCTGAAGCCAGGATCCAGGAGTTTATTCCAGTTCTCCCATGCAGGTGCAGGGGCCCAAGGACTTGAGCCATCTTCTACTGCTTTCCCAGGCCATTGCAGAGAGCTGGATCAGAAGTGCAGCAGCTGGGTCTTGAACCGGTGCCCATACAGGATGTTGGCACTGCAGGTGGCGGCTTTACCCACTATGCCACAGCACCGGCCCCTCACATTAAAATCTTAATACAGTTTATAGTTACTTCTGTGAGCCATCAAGATAGTTCATCCAGAGAAATTCTATATTAGCACAATTTGCACAATAGAAACTTTTGATTAAAGAATGTTTATGCCATATTGTATAAAGCATCCATGGTCTCTGAAATGAATCATATATATTGATATATTGATAGAATTGATTAACAAATACTTCACAAAGTATTTCAGGCCCAGTTGCTGGTTTCTCAGTAATATTTTATATTTTCAGATAAATCAAGAATATAATTTTGACTTTTGTTTATGGTTATTCTTATGATGATACATAGTTTTAGAGAGATAATAATATTTAATTGTTTTATACATGAACTATTTTTAGTTGAATAATAACAAAACTATACAATAGAAAGGAATTGTTTACAATTTTAAATCATTCTCAAGTTTGTGTTGTATTTCCAGATTGTACAAAAAATAATTTTTGCATTTCTATTATCAGAATAAAGCAGATCTCACAATTAATCATGTTTATTTAAACAAAATCAATAATTAAATGCTGTTTGTTCTGCAGTTTATATCAAAGGGTATTTCATTTATTGAAAAAGACTGTATTCAGTGTGGCTTTCACTTCATGATATGCTTTCAATTCATGATGTACATTTGATAGTATTTGATAGTTAATTTTGTTTTAAACTTGAACATAAAAGAACATGGAGTGTTTGCCCAGCCAGTTGAGTTTCACCTTTAATTATATAATACTATCTTTGTGCAAGGATAAGAGAAGGATATTTTTCTTTATAAGAAAATTAGTATAATCAGGTGAGCTGATTCTTGTGATTCTCTGTACATAAATGTCTGATAACATTGAGAGTAACTGTGAATGTTCTTTAGAGAACATATTTGATTATGATTTAGCTTTGGGAAGCTAACTTTACATTATAATTTTTATAAAAAAAATCAGATGTTCTGTTTTTCTTAAAAAATACTGTCTTTATAAAATTTAACAGTCTTAAACTGTATAATTAAAGATAATGGAACAAAAAATTTAAAAAGAATAAACATCAACAACAAAAAGTCTCTGGCTTTCCAAATTTTATTCCTAGAAGTAGATATCACAATCCCACTTCATTTACATTTGGCTATTTAAGACAATTTCTTATGAATTAATCATCCATAAATGAATGATTAATTTAGTATACAAGTAAAGGGTAACATTTTAAAATGTCTGTAATTCATTGGTGATGTGGTTAACAGTAAATGGAATTAAAATGTTAGTCAATTTTTTTTTGTGATGGGTTTTGAGGTTTTTATAAATAAAACAACTCCCTGAAGAGCATTAAAAAACAATGTGAAATGATCAGGCAAGATGCCACGGTAAATAACTGATTGTCTGTATTACTTTACCATACCAGAAGTGCCTAAAAGGTTAACTCTATTATGTTTTCATTGTGTTATTGAACTGCACAATAATTTATTTAATATTGTTCAGAAAGAAATAAACTTTTTTTGCATAAACCATAGTATGCAGTTTTTTCTTTTTTAAAATGTGATTAAATATTCTTTTTCAAAACCTGCTTTTTCCTTACTAAAAATTTAAGAAAACGTATCACAACTAATTGTCCATTACACAAAAGTCAGTTTTTTTCTCTGTAAGTTTTAACTGTAGACTGATTTTCCATGTTGCTTAGTTCACCAACTTTTTCTCCAACTGCTTTACATAAAGGGACCACAAAATAATTTCATCAAGCTAAATCATACATATTTAAGAAGTTAAAACTTCCAAGCAAAAAAGCCATAGAGTGCCACTCAAACAGATAATTTGATTTTCTTTAATAGACTTTGTTTTTTTTTCGAGAAGTTTTAGGTTCATAGGAAAATTGAGTATAAGGTGCAAGACAGACAATTTTGAAACAATCTGTTATTAGTACACATCATTTTGTCAAACTAGATTTTTCTTACAAAAATAGCCCTGAAGTCCTATTGCAAGTATTATATTTGCTACTCATCTAAATTAAGCTCCATAGATCATAAAACAGGTTAAGATACAAACAACAACAAAAAACTCAGCCAACTAGAAAGATGGTGTTTTTTAAACCCTCTTTCCAGGCCCTCTTTGTTGGATTTTACCTCTCTTAGATGCTGTTGAAGAACTAAGAATTACAAAGATGGAACTAGAAATGAGGAAAATAAAAGTACAATTGACTCCAGATCAAAAGTAGTATATTTTAAGGGCCATTAGAGTGATTCCAGTAAAGTGCTTTTGGAGTTTATTAGAAGGAAAGATGATTGCCACGTGGTGTGACCAAGGATGCCTTCTTAGAGGTGGTAGTTTGAAGCAAAGCCTTTTATGAGAATTAACCTTCCTCAGTAGCAATGAAAACTGAGTCAAGGATGTACATTCCAAGACAAGAAATAGCAAAGTTAGAGATAAGAAAGAATAGGGCATATTTGAGAAATAGTGAATAGTCCTGTATTTGTACAGAGAAGTGGACCATCCGATAAGAAAGATTCATGTATGTCAAATTATGGGAGGCTTTGAATACCAGCAGAAAGGCACTAACCCTATGGATTAATTATTTTGTACCAGGTACTATGTTAGATTAATATACTTTGCATCATTTAATTTTTTCCAAAGAAGAAAACAAAGAGTTAGGTGGTATTATGCCTATTTTTATATCCTTTTTTTTTTTGACAGGCAGAGTGGACAGTGAGAGAGAGAGAGACAGAGAGAAAGGTCTTCCTTTTGCCGTTGGTTCACCCTCCAATGGCCGCCGCGGCCGGCGCACCGCGGCCAGCGCACCGCACTGATCCCATGGCAGGAGCCAGGTACTTCTCCTGGTCTCCCATGGGGTGCAGGGCCCAAGCTTGGGCCATCCTCCACTGCACTCCCTGGCCACAGCAGAGAGCTGGACTGGAAGAGGGGCAACCGGGACAGAATCCGGCGCCCTGACCGGGACTAGAACCTGGTGTGCTGGCGCTGCAAGGTGGAGGATTAGCCTATTGAGCCGTGGTGCCGGCTATTTTTACATCCTTTGCTCAGAATTAGAGCCAGTGGATGACAGAACCAGAATGAACTCATGTGGCCTGTGAAGTACACACATTCCAGCACAACCCCAGTGCTCCTGTTAGACCTGACTCTGCAGCCCATGGCAATCAGTGGCTACCAGATTCTATCAGTCCTACTGGAAGTGTCCAGCCCTGACCTATTTCTGAGTCTAACAATCTCTCATCCAATCTGTTGCAATAGCTCCCTTTTAGACTGAGCTTCCCATTGTTTCTGCTTTTACCCAACCATTCCATGTTGTCAGAATTATCTTTGTGCAAGATTGCCTTCTCTGATCTTTAAGAAAGCAACACTACATGCAGGTAAAATGCAAATTGGGACCCAAGGCTGTTCACACCCAGGCCCAACCTGTTTTTCCATCCTCATACTGCAGGACTTCTGACTCCACCCATACTTCAGGCACACTAACCTCACTAATTGGAAACATTACTCCTTCCACACAGGACAGAAGGGATGTGAGCTGTATTTCATACTCTGAACTTTTGTTCCTGCTGTTTCTTTTGTTCAGTGTCTGCTTATCTTCACAGTCTTTGCCTGTTCAGTAAGACTTCTTTGTTCCCGCCTGTGTGTTTCTCTGAATGAATGTATAGCTGCTTACCCACCTATGTCTATTCCAGAAAGTCTTCTTAAATGCAGACATTGTCTTCTTCATCCTTGTATAACCAGTATCTAACCAGGTCTAGCATAGAGTAAATTTTCAGAAACAGAACTGATCAAGATAAGTTTCTTAATTCAAAGCTGGGTGACAACCATCATGGAGACAGCCCCCCCCCCCGCCCCCAGGGCCTTTGTGGCGTGTTAAAGCCCAGCAATGTGCTAACTAGAATATAGTCTACATGGAAGTGGGCTGACTTCTGCACATTCCTTACAACCCTCAGAGTTGACCTTCTTCCACCCTTTCTCTCACTGTAAATGTTAGCTGTCTTATAATGGTCAGTTCCTATACATTAGGCTTTATTTTTGACTCAACTTCCCTCTGGTTTCTCTGTTTTAAATATATTAATGTCAATTTTTAATTGATTTTAAATTCCAATTCTTTTAATTTCATATACATTCAGATTGGCCCCTATGGATTTGTTCAGGAGAACCATTAATCAATGTTAAATAAAAGCCCACCATAATTTGGCTCTCATGCATAGCCTGCTCTCCAGCCAAAATGAAAACACCTACAGCTGCTATGTTAAGCTCTTGAGGAAGGTTTCCCATAGCAGAGCCCCTCTCTTTCTCAGAGGACCGTGTGCTTGGGGAGATGTGGATGGTTTGTGATGGGAAATGGTCAGCTTCCTTCCCTGCAGCTCAGTCTCATCCATTAAAAGTCAGGTTCACCTCTTTTGAGGAATTTCAGTCCATCAGTCACCTCTGAAAATATTGAGCCTTGGTAGATTGAGTGGGTAGATGACTTTCTTATTAAGCTATCAATGACGGCCAATCTCAATATTTACTCCAAACCCTTGCCAACAAGGGACATAATATCTCTAAACACAAAATACAATTAATAGCTCTCAAGTCTCCAGGACATGCTATTTCTCCAGATGGAGAAAGCGTCTCTTCTCATTTCCTTTTTGTGCCCCCTCTAACATTTCCTTCATCTCTACTCCTCATTTACCTATGAGGGTCTTACAAAAAAGTTCATGGAAAACACATATCAAGAGAAAACTGTGCATCAACTTCAATATATGTTGTTCCAAAATAAATTTACCTTTTTAATTCAATTTCCACCAACTTTTAAAAATATACAGATTAAATTCAGGATCCCCAAAACTTTTCAATGGTGTTTGGTGAATTGATGATTCAATTTTAAAATCTTTCTTAAAATTGTTGCTTTTACTATCCTGCTGTTTGTTTTATGATTGATTTGCTGAAATTTGAATTGTTTGTCCCCCAAAACTTGCTAACAACAGACAAAAGAACCCCCAACATTTTGTGTTGAATTATCTTAGAAACATTTCCTGCTTATAAAACAACCCCTAGTGTAAATCTCCAATTTGCCATGTGTTTACTTCTTTCCATGAAAATCTATGGCAAAACCATCCTCCTAAGATACTCTGATATTTAGTTCTGCACAACTATTCATGTTTCAATTGCCAGAACAAAGACAGTTTCTTTACTTATCAAGTTTTTGTCTTTGACAGAAGCCACCCAGATACTCTTTGCAGTTTGGCAGGTAGTCTGTCTGGAATCAATGCAGGAATTCTAGGGAGGGTTGTGAGGTATAATCTTACCTCATTTTTATTCAGCCTCTGCTATATGTAACTTTTATGCAGACACCAAATGCAACTGGGCCTCTTTTAGATAATTCTGTCCTCACACGCCATGATGTCTAGACAAATTTCATACCTAGTAAACACATACCCATCACTATAAAATATTAATAATAATATAGGCTTCTACTAAAGCTTTCATGCAAAAATGGAAAAGAGGGGTAAATTGCAGCTCATCTAGCAAAACTTAACAAAACTTTGTTTCTTTTAACAAAACTTCTATCTCTTTTAATCTCTTTTAAACTTTTATCTTTTTTGTTCTCTAAAGAAGTAAAAGACTGGGGCTGGTGCTGTGGCGTAGTGGGTAAGGCTGCCACCTGCAGTGCCGGCATCTCATATGGTTCAAGTCTTGGTTGCTCCACTTCTGATCCAGCTCTCTGCTATGGCCTGGGAAAGCAGTGGAAGATGGCCCAAGTCCTTGGGCCCCTGCACCCACGTAGGAGATCCAGAGGAAGCTTCTGGCTCCTGGCTTCAGATGGGCACAGCTCCAGCCATTGCGGCCATCTAGGGAGTGACCCAGTGGATGGAAGACCTCTCTCTCTCTGCCTCTCCTTTCTCTCTGTGTAACCCTAACTTTCAAATAAAAAAATCAATCTTTTTTAAAAAAAGTGAAAGATCTCTATGATGAAAATGATCAAACTTTGATAAGAAAATCATCAAGGACACACAAAAAAATGTAAAGATAGTCTTTGCTAATGGAGTGGAAGACTGAATATCATTAAAATGTCTATACTACCTAAAGCAATCTACAGATTCAATGCAATCCTTATCAGAATACTAATGACATCTTTCAGGAACTAGAAAAAGCAATCCTAAAATTCATATGGAATCAAAAAAGACCCAGAATTGCCAAAGCGATACTGAACAAGAAAAATCAAGCTGGAGGCATCACAATACCTGACTTCAAAGCATATACAAACCTATAGTAATTAAAACAGCATGATACTGGCATAAAAGCTGATACATAGGTCAATGGAACAAAGCAGAGGGCCAGAAATTAATCTACATACATACAGCCAACTGATTTTTGACAAAAGTGCTCAGACCATTCAACAAATGGTGCTGGCAAAACTGGATTTATGTATGTAGAAGGATGAAATTAGATCTATACCTTTCACCATATCCAAAGATCAACTCAAGATGGATCAAAGACCTAAATTTAAGACCCAAGACTGTGTAGCTGCTGGAATAAAACATAGGGGGAAACACTCCAGGACATTGGTGTAGGGAATGACTTCTTGAACAAGACCCCCAAAGTATAGGCAACAAAAGCAAAACCAAAAAAATGGAACTACATAAAACTCAGAAGTTTTTGCACAGCAAAGGAAATGATCACTAGCATGAAGAGACATCCAACAGAATGGGAAAAATGTTTGCACACCACCTATCCAGTAAAGGATTAATAGCCTAAGTATATCAGCACTGTAAAAAAACTCAACAACAACAACAACAACAACAACAACAAAACAAACAATCCAGTTGAGAAATGGGCAAAGTACTTCAACAGACGGTTCTCAGAAGGAATACAAGTCGTCAGCAAATGTATGAAAAAATGCTCAGCATCACAACCCATCAGGGAAATGCAAATCAAAACCACAATGAGATACTATCTTACCCCTGTCAGAATGGCTAAAACTCAAAACAGAGACTAGGAAATGCTTATGAGGATGTGGGGAAAGAGGAACACATACAACTATTGGCGGGAATGTACATTAGTGTACCCACTGTGGACGATAGTATGATGATGTTTTAAAAAATTAGAAATAGATTCACCATATGATACAGCAATCCCACTACTGGGTATATACCCAAAAGGCTCGAACACAATGTATCAAAGAAATATCCACACTACCATGTTTATAGCAGAACTGTTCACAGTAGCCAAAACTTGGAACCAACCAAAGTGTTCATTATCAGATGAGTTGATAAAGAAAATATATAGAAAAATATATAAATTTATATAATCTATATATAATGGAATATTATTCAGCTATGACAAAGAATGAAATTCTACCTTTTGCAGCAAGATGGACACAACTGAAGGACATCATATTGAGTAAAATAAGCCAGAACCAGAAAGACAACTACCAGATGTTCTCCCTTATATGTGGGAGCTAAAATTTAAAAAACAAAAAGGAAAAAACAAAGAAATGTCTGCATATCAATATTACTACAAATTTAGCTTTATAAGTTTTACAAAACTTTGTTTTATACTTTAGTCAAACCAATGGTTAAGAATGCTTTACTACTACAATTTTAGTGATGTGTGATTACTTTAAAATTTACTGTATATGAGTGAAATGGTCATTTTCCATTCAATTATTATTTATAGCCATTGTCTGTATTCCCACTAAAGTAGGATCTTTTCACTTCTTACTTGTTAAACTTTTTAAGTGGTGAAATACTGAGACTTTTTACTGTAATGCAAATTTGAAACATGTTATCTCAAAAACTTAAAAAATAGAGGGAAATGGAGAGGGATGTGGGAGGGAGAGGAGAGAGGGAGGAAGGGGCTATCATTATGTTTTTAGAACTGTATGTCAAATCACATTGAATCTGTTGAAAACAATGAAAATCAAATTTTTGTTAATTTTTAATTAATTTTTATTAATTAATTAATTTTTATAGAATCAAATTTATTTTTATTTGAAAGGCAGAGAGAGGGAGGGGAAGGAGGGAAAGACAGAGAAAGAGAGATTTTGTATTTGATGATTCATTTATCCAAATATCTCTGCTCTCCTCTCCCTCCTTCTTTCCCTTCTCTCTCTCATTATCTCCTGGTCAGGGGTTTCCTGTGGTGTTGCTCAACATCCATAACTACTTTCCCATATCCTTTAACAAAACAAAAGATCTCTTCCAAGATTCGCACTCTTTACAAAGTATGGAAATAGAATGGGATGGATTAGTAATAACTATGTGTCACCTGTTTTTCTTTTTCTGGCAGAGAGATTAGGCAATTTTAATACTTATTTTTATTCCTTTCATTTGTACATATTAAATCTATATAATTTCAAATTCAATTTTTCATTGTTTTTCCTTCCTCAACCACTTTTTAAACTACTGTGCCCTTGCATATAGTCCTACTGCAGTTTAAACAAGCCACACTAATTGTCATGCCATGAAAGGATGTCATAATGAGTGAAGGATTTACAAAGACATGTCCCTTCCTGACTTCAGTGAAGAATCACTTGATTTTGAGTATCAGAGTACACTTTCATAGGAGATAAAAGAGGAGAAATTCTGTACATATTTTCTGTGCATGTCTGCCAAGCTCTAAGTGTGAGGGCTTTAGAGACATAGATTTTAACATTTTGTAACAGAAAATGACGTGCTCTTGTGCTGTTAGTGGAAAGCCAGCCAAAAGATGACTTTTATCCAAATAAAAGGTGATTGCGAAAATTTAACAAAGTAACTGACAGCGGCCGGTGCCGGGGCTCACTAGGCTAATCCTCCGCCTTGCGGCGCCAGCACACCAGGTTCTAGTCCCGGTC